GCTGGAGAAGAAAAGAAGGGCAACAATAAGAGGAAACCAGCCATCGTCGCTGTTACACAAGAGACCCAAATTGACATAGTAAGTGCGATTTTCTCTTGTTCATCCCATTTTTATATTTTAAGCTACCCAAAACCCTTTCTTGATGCATAAAGACTGATGGAAAGCAAGAAACGGAGGGCGGAGCTCGGCTGAGTTGCTGCACCCGAAACTGAAAAACACTCTAGTGAGCCCGAAACGTCTTTCGTTCTTTTCATCCCTCGATCCTATGCCATCTAACATGTTTTGGTGTAGGATAGTCGAAGGAAAGTTGCAAACGCGAGGAAGAAGCGGCAGGGCTCGGCGGAGCCACCCCACTGGAAAGCTAGAACCACTGGTAAGTTTCAATTTTCTTTTTTTTTTCCACCAACAGACACTGCCTAACTCCAAAGTGAACAAGTGTTCGCCCAGAACGGGCCGAAACCAGCCTGAACAAGAGGAGAAGCCGTTGTAGAAGGAAGAATCAATGGCAGAGCACGTCAACACCGCCGTGTCAGAACCCTATACCAACCCTCAGTGAGATTTTTGACCCTTTTTGCCTATTTTTTACGTAGTTTCACGTTATTTTGACGTAAGTTTTGATTTTAACAGAAAAACTCAAGGAATCTAGGAATCGAGAACCGTCAGAAAGCATAGTGAAAAAGGGCAATGTTCAGGACACCGACCCAGTATAAGAATTTCTCACTCTCTCCCTTGTTATGGTTAAATTAAAGTCAAATTAATAATAAACAGAAATTATAAATCGTTGGCGATCTCTTGCTTAATTAAATGCAGGTTGTCGATAAAGTCAGTAACTGGTCAATTTATAATTGTCATTAGTTATCCGTGTAACAACCCCGGAAAAATTTAATATTGGAAAGGCATATATATAGATAAATAATCTGAATTTGCGGAAACGTATTAAACATTGCAATTAACATCCCTTACGCAATACCAAAACGTGTTCAACAAATGAGGGAATAAACTAATTAAAATAAATGCTCGAAAGTAAGAACTACAATTATAACTATGGGATTTTTAGGCGTCCCCTTCGTCTTCTTCCTGCGGAACGGGCTCGGGAACCACGTCTTCTTGATCTGAAATGGTTAAGTAAGGAGTGAGCTACACTAGTCCAGTAAAGATATCACTCTACCTCACTGCCACAGGAGTAAGGGTGGGTAGAAAACAAAAACGACCAATGAAGCATAATTTGTAATAAACCCATTTGTTAATAAAAACGTTTACTTTCCATTTACCTGGGTGAGATCCATAAAACAATACACAAGCAACACATTATCATCATCACGTTATCACATAGATTTTATAATACAACATTTATCACGCGTTTGCATTTCAATTTTTAAACAGCATAATTCCTCTTTACCAGCCTACTAGTATCCATGGGGATCCATAAGGGTCCTGCTACCCGTGAACCCTTAACATTTATAACCTGATTCCAGGACCGTCCCCATACCCCGTCCGGTATGGGCGCCAAAACCATGAACCTCAATACCCCGTCCGGTATGAGGGTGAAACGGGCCATCCCCATACCCCATCCGGTATGGGCGCCAAAACACATAAGGTCTCCATACCCCGTCCGGTATGAGAGACCACATTCCCGGTAGGGTTCCCTACGGACCCGGTCCGTCCACCATCTCCCAGGATACCTAGTCAAGCTGTCCACATTATCCGTTTGCCAATTCACATAACCTTTTATCCCTTTTTCTTTAGTCACCATCATCAAGTCACACACAAACATGCAAACCAGTAGTTCATGCCAACAAGACAACACACAACATCGGGTTCTCAGTCATTCAGTCCATAATCAATGAAACAGTGATACATGCACACGAAACTATGAAATAAAAAAACATCAGACATCATACTGCATTTAAAACTGTAAAATAGAACAACAACAACTGACCGACAAATACACTAGACTCGGGCTCCATTAGCAACCTTAAACAATTTCGCACAGCTATTGATTCATGAAATACCATTTTGTCATTTATTAAACTTTAATACCGTGATAGGAAATATGATGAGGAATCCTTACTTGTTTTCGGGACCCGAAATAGGTTTTTCCGAGCGCCTGCGGGTTATCCCTAAATTTTCTGAATTTTTTTCTGAAAAACTGAAACACGCTACCGGTACTTGCACGTGTCCCAAAAATCTCAGAATCAGACCTAGGACCCCTTTCAGCCAATATTGCAATTCCGGCACGGCGATTCACCTCGGGTTGGCCGTTTTCGACCGAATTCGGCCACACTTGCATCGGTCCCTGCGATAAAACAACCCTAGGGCCCTTGGGGGGCCAAAAAATTACGAAAAACCGAAGCTTACCGGAGGCGGTGCTCTCGGGTGCGGCGGCTCTCCGGCGTGGTTCGTGTTTTGGTGATTTGGCTCCAATAAACCTGTAGAGAAAAGAATGGTGATCACGGTGATATAAAAATTGTATCAAACGGAGGCCGGGAAGGGCCTTATCGGAGGCAAAAACCGAGGAGGGGCGCGGCGGCGCCGCTGGGTTTCGGCCGTGTTTTCCGGCCGCTTGGCCGGGAGTTTGGCTTCGATTTGGCCACAGGGGAACTCAGCATTGAAAAACGAGCTGGGGGTATGAAATTTACCTCGATCGGCGGTCGGAAAACTCCCCGGTGCGGCGGCGGGTGGCGGCGGGTGGCTCCTCCGGCGTCTGGTTCGTCTTCTCTGGCGAGGGCTGGCGGCTAGAGTTTTTGTGGTCAGGTGTGGGGGTTTATTTATACCCTTTGCCTTTTAATCACAGCTGTCCATCTTGATTTAATTTGGGCTGTTCGATCGCGATTTAATTTGGATTAAATCTGGACCGTCCATCGCGATTAAATCTGGGTCGTCCGTACTTGATTGAATCTGAGCCGTCCGTGCACGTGCATATGGGTCGTCCGTGCGCGTGCATCTGGGCCGTCCGTGCGCGCGGGGACGCATCTGGGCCGTCCGAGCGCGCGGGGATGCATCTGGGTCGTCCGATCGCGCGCACGCGGATCGCCCACGTGGCCCGTCCCCAGGTCGGCGTGTCCTTGCCACGCGGCAGGTCCTGGTTGGCTAGGGCTGATGACTGGGCCGCTGACGTGGTTGCTGACGTGGCGCTGACGGGACATAATTTTTCTAAATTGCGTTTTGACCCCCAGTTTCCGAATTTCTTTTCAAAAACACCCCCAGAATCCAAAATTTCACCCATTTTTTCCAAAATCAATTTCAATTAAATCCAAATAATATTTTTACCCAATTTTATCATTATTAATATTTTTATATTCACAAAAATTAATTTAAATTAAATTA